GTCGTCCGTGTGATATAAACCATCCCGGCATGCAGCTTCCCGTTGTCCGTGTGATATAAACCATCCCGGCATGCAGCTTCCCGGTCGTCCGTGTGATATAAACCATCCCGGCATGCAGCTTCCCGGTCGTCCGTGTGGTATAAACCATCCCGGCATGCAGCTTCCCGTTGTCCGTGTGATATAAACCATCCCGGCATGCAGCTTCCGTTGTCCGTGTGATATAAACCATCCCGGCATGCAGCTTCCCGTTGTCCGTGTGATATAAACCATCCCGGCATGCAGCTTCCCGTTGTCCGTGTGATATAAAAAGTTGTCCGTTGTCATATAAACCATCCCGGCATGCAGCTTCCCGTTGTCCGTGTGATATAAACCATCCCGGCATGCAGCTTCCCGTTGTCCGTGTGATATAAACCATCCCGGCATGCAGCTTCCCGTTGTCCGTGTGATATAAACCATCCCGGCATGCAGCTTCCCGTTGTCCGTGTGATATAAACCATCCCGGCATGCAGCTTCCCGTTGTCCGTGTGATATAAACCATCCCGGCATGCAGCTTCCCGTTGTCCGTCCTATTATAATTCCTTCTTCACAGAATGAATGAAAACAGTGTTATTTTTATATTTAAGTTTCACGTCATTCGAAAATTACAGATTATTATATGAAGTGAAAACACTTGAGATCTACATGAAATCCTATCCTACCCAGGAGCGGATACAGCTTTTTGCGAAACGGGGTGCACAGTTTATTTCACCCGTTTTCACGATAGTTGCAATGGTCATGTAATGACGCAGGCCTGCACACACACACCCCTCCCCACCCACACACCACCACCCCACACACACCCCACCCCACACCACCCGTTTCTGGATCCGCCTATGCTTTCATTCAACCATGTGCATTAATTCTCCAATGTGTTTCTTGAAATAACCGGCGAAGACTACTAGGGACAGAACTTCCTATCAAATGAATGTCCTTTGAGTCGACTGATAAAATACTTACAGTTACTATGAACGTGACTTGGCTGACTGGGTGTCAGTATACCCTGGATCGATGCTCATACTTCCAGTCACTGGTCTGTCTGGTCCAGACTCGACCCTGGTTCTTACAGGCCGCCATGATGAAACTGCAAGCTGGCAAAAATACAGTTGCTCGCTCAGTTACTATCTAACATTCAGTACAGTACAATGAGTGGGCTCTGTTCGGTTTTATCAAGGAGAATTATCTAGTGTATTAAATCCCAAAGCTATTAATAGACACTTCGTTAGGTGAAAAACTACGTGACATCCTTTGGCAGAGGACCGTTGTCCGTGATCTCAATCACTTGATTGTCTGATCCCGACTCAATGGACATAGTTCTCATGACACATCGGCAGTCACGAGGGCTGTTTAGGAACACTTTTAAACAAATTCTTTCCGTGATAAAACATTTCGAATATTTCACCACATACAGTAACAGCTGAACATTACTTTGTCATCAAGAAAGGTTTTAACCGACTCAATTCTTTTCGAAGTCTGCTGGTTAAAAGGTTTGATCGACACGGAGATCATGGCTCGAACCACCTCATGGGACCAGTTTCTGAAGCCATGCCCCCCGCCTTGATCAAGACATCGCTGGAATATTGCTAAAACTATTTTCCTGACCCCTTCCTTTTCCGGAGAAGATTTGGTTATTTGTACTGTTGTTTGTTGACGTATGGACTGCCAGAAAAACTGACCTTATTCAAATCGGATGGAACTTGCAGCCCTGCTTGGCTCGTCGCTAATTCAACCGTCTGCAGTTAACTTATGTACATTTGGGCGTACATTTGCATGGAATTTTACAATAAGTTTTCAGATGTCATTTTCTCTCATGTTTCAGTATTTTAGGGTCGGTGGATGCTGGAAACCAAACTACCCCTTGCCTTGTCTTTCACTTTAATCGTGTTTAGGGTTTTGTACGACAATGAGTGAGTGAGTGAGTGAGTTTAGTTTTACGCCGCAATATTACTACAGCAACGGAAGAAGGGGCGACTGAAACCCACAAAACTTGTCAACTGTTACCCAGCTTCTGTTTCCGCTTACCTGTGTTTTGATATGTATTTAACATGCGGTTACAAGTTTGTGACAACTCTGCGGACTATTCCGGGAAGAATAACACGTAGTCTATGTATAGGAGCCGTTGGGTGGTGCTGTCCGTTTCCGAGTGGCAGCGTCCAGTCACCCGACATGCTGACTGGTGAAGCGAGTTCGGTCCTCGTGGGGAATCAAGTGTTGACCTTTTATTAGTATGTGACATTACGTGGAATAGCAGTCACATTCCACGTGTTCTCACAGTCAGTTTTAAGCCATGTTATCAAAGACTGAGTGGTATTTTACGAGCGCTTCAGCAATATTCATATTGGCTGATTGAGGATGCTATAAATTGTCACCCCAAAGTTCGGGAAAGTGAGAATCATCAAGACATATCTTCTGATCTATCTGGTATTGGCAAATGGAAAGATGATCCTACCTGCGGGAGAGTAGGCGATCACACCCAATGGGTTCTAGTGACTGATGTGATGAGATGGTGGCGCACTGGGTCGTTAATGAGGCAGTGTTGAGGTCTAAGGTATATTCCCATTACATCTCAGAGTCCCAGTCAGAGGAAAGCCTCCAGTTATGGCAATTTTCACCAATTGGCAGAACTCAGGGTATGGAACTGTCAAACCTCGAACACAGACCGATATGTTTCGAACACAACAAACAAATCTTTCTTGCAATCCCAAGGATGTTTATACAGGCAATGCAGTTGTCCAGTGACTTGTCTGGCTGATGGCTAGACTGTTTACAGGTCCCGGTGTTCACTCTGTCTGACATCAAACATTATCTTACCGCGCACATAAATGTCGCTTTCTGATTGGCTGAGCGCTCTTCTATTATTTTCAATGTACCCCGCTGTCAATGGAAACTCATTATGTACTTGGTGGTAGTAATTTTGAATCTCGAATTACATTGAATCACGTATGATGTACGGAAATTACCGATCTTTTGCGAATGCAAATCGATAGAAGGGATTTGTACCCGTGCTTAAAACAATTCAAAATTAACATTAAGGTGTACAGTAAGATAAATACGTTGTTCGGGCTCAAACATTGAGGGTACATCAACCCATGGGCCCCTCGTGACCAGTGAACAACTTATAATATTCCTTCACTTTCACGGGACTTCAAGCATTGTGAACATTCACTGCACCCAATTGTTGCTGTTTGTTGTTTATGGCTGCTCACTCTAATGTTTCAGATTTGTGATGGCAGTCTGTGATTTCACCCCAATCCCCACAGGTGTTTATTGTGGTAAGAAATGGTGCCTGCATACCATGTCAGTTGTAGGAGATCAGGGTGTCAAGTTCACTGACTTGGTACTTGGTATCATCATATACCTGCTGTTGGGATTGGTGCTCACAACATCGACCACTGGATTATGAGGTCCGTCCAGGTTTGAGTAAATACAGGCTTACGTCATAAATCAAACTACGGCCAAGTGCAGCAAACTAACAAACATATGCACCCCTGAAAAGCACTTCCACATTTTGCTACTCACTTTAGACCATTCTGCAGAAAACAAGACAGGAAAATGCTTGAATGTTTACGGTTTATTTATCTTTTCACAAGGAACATACACAATGGCTGGGTGAAAGGGGTAACAAACACCATAAGCCTGTTTTATCAAATTGAAATCTGTGCAATGAAAAACTGGGCACAAATTGTTTGATTTCGTCTTTATGCTAGAAGCATTCCAGCAGTAGTACAACACTGTCCCAGTACCTTGACTCAAGAGACTTTCACAGTAACAGGTGTCTGGAGGGCCAGACACAGTAACAGGTGTCTGGAGGGCCAGACACAGTACTGGTTCTGAAAGTGACTCAGCTTGTACCAGAATGATATACCTTCTCAAAACATTCACATTCCAATAACCCATTCTGACTCTCCTTTAAACTTCAGATGTGTAACTGAAGGAGGTACTATGCTCTGTATATGTGCCTTATCATTTTGGGGACAGAGATGAATTCTCCTTGCATAACATGAATTCGGACAACAAAAAAAGAGGGGGAAAACAATATTATCCATTACCTCCTGACATCAAACATATCACAAAGCTATTGGTGAACAAAGTTATGAAAAATGGATATGAAGGTTGTCTCAAGGTTTACCACAACTTGTCGGCAACATGATCAACTCCACATATAAACATAAAATATCGCTGTGTACAACTTTATGGCTGCCTCACCATACAGAAGATTCTGCCTGTCTCGCGTGTCTGTATTGTTCGAGGTCAATAAGAAAAGAGACAAACATTTCTTTTTTTGCACTATCCCAAGAGTCGACAATTACTGTTCCTGATTCAATGTTTTCTTGTATTATTCTAATGGGTCAGTGTGTTTTCAAATCTAGCCAAGTAAACTGATCAAGGCAAGGGATTGACACAAAGCAGTAAAAGTGAGTGGCGGACATACAGAAACCATCTCAGAAGCTTGGCGTCACGGCAATTTACAGGCAAAGGGAGATAGCTGTAGATGTCTGTCCCTGAAAAATCCCACTGAACCTTGGTCCAGCTCACTGCCTCAAGACTACATGAATACATACATAACTTAAATGAAGGCAGACACAGATCTGAAAGATGATGGACAGAATGATTTCCTGTATAAACGTCAACTGTGGATCTTACAGATAGCACAACACCTAACTTATCCTATGCAATCCACAATTATGAACTCATCCATCAGAAGATCCTCCTTACTGACTTAATGACAGGTAATTATGTTTTCAAAATGACATCATTAATACTCTGATCACATTCTATTCTTGTCACAAACATCCAACAAGCAAGATTACTCATGGTAGGCAGACTAGGTCCAGTGAAGAAACATGACATTGACAACAAACGTTCAACTAGTAACACCCACAAGGATATTCAAGCAGTGTTCCTGCTTCCGAAACACAGTTCAACTCATATACTCATCCATCTGCACAAAACTCTCACATTTCTCACAAGAAATGATCAACACTGATAAGGCTTATTTCAGGAGCTACTTATTGATCTCCATGGTAACAGTGCCAGCGTATACAGCAGGAACTTCCACATCAGGTTTAAAGATATCCCCCAGCCTACACGACAGCAACTCCTGATACTGACAGGGGAGAAAAGTCTCCCTGAAACTCAAGCCACAATCGTTGCTCTTACCTATTTAGTTAATTTCCATGTATTGTAAATTTAACAGCTGACAAAACCAACAGATTCATAGCTGGTGTTAAATTCTATCCCTCGACTGATGAGACAAATGATGAATCTATTCAACACGATTACTTGTCACGACTAGTCCAGAAGGAGCTGCTGGCATCGGTGTTTGTGCTGCTGGAGTAGCCGGTGAACACCCATCTCCGCTCCAGCCGAGCCCCGACTCCCTGCAGCTCTTGTTTGAACAGCATAGGCAGACGTTCAACCAGGTCTTCAATCTCCCGTGGTCGACATGAGATCATCTGGTTTAGGTATGACCACAAGTAGTCCACGGATGCCCCAAACGGATGAACATGGAGAAAACAGGTGATGAGACCTGCAAACAATGGAGGTCACTCTTGTAGGACATAATTCTTGCCATACAATCCTGACAAATCCTGGGCATCTACTAGACATTCATGAAGTTTGTTTAGTTCAGTTTTCAAATTTTCAATTCAAATACTTTGTTGAAATTACATTTTACAAAGAAGTGTGAAATGGATGCTGCCAGTAACTAGTGCCATGAAGCTCTAGTATTCTGATTAGCTACACTTTTTAGTCATTTCACTGCCACGTCAAAGTTCACAAAACATCGTTCTGACATGACCTGTAATGGGATTCCCAGCATAGATGGTACTAGCATACATTGATTGGGATGAATTCTGACCCAGGCTCCCCACAGGGTAGAGGCAGAGGCTACCATACATTGATTATCATGAATTCTGACCCAGGCTCCCCACAGTGTAGAGGCAGGTGCTGTATACCTAGTATCTTGGCCTCCTTGCCAGACAGGTTGATGGCCGAACTGCTGACAGTGGACTCAATGCTGCTGAGGCCAGGGATGGATTGGATCTCAGGGATGGTGATCACATCAAAGGTAGGAGCCTTCTCCTTGCTCGTCTCCTCAGCTGACTGGAACAGAAGTTCACTTACTGAAGGCACATCAACTGTTGCAGTAGTACTGTGATAATCATTGTTGCTGTATCATTACAGATGACTATTATAATGTTCAACAGTTTCCGAAATCAAACTTTTAGAACATTGTGCTTGTTTGTAAGTCAATGCCTCATGTTGAAGTTATATGAAAACTACCTGTGAAATCACTGAACTAGACCAGTCAGGGTTTGTACAGATTATCAGCTATCAAATTCAAGGCCTTTTTAGGGGGTTGTTAAGGTCATCAACAAATTCAAGAACCTTTAGAAACACATTTAACACATAAATAGCTGAAACATGGGACAGACCAACAGTACATTTCTAGGGCATCAGTACTGTCCCAGCCTGTCTATAAGAGCTGCCAGGTGTTACCTGTGACTGTCCCAGCCTGTCTATAACAGCTGCCAGGTGTTACCTGTGACTGTCCCAGCCTGTCTATAAGAGCTGCCAGGTGTTACCTGTGACTGTCCCAGCCTGTCTATAAGAGCTGCCAGGTGTTACCTGTGACTGTCCCAGCCTGTCTATAAGAGCTGCCAGGTGTTACCTGTGACTGTCCCAGCCTGTCTATAAGAGCTGCCAGGTGTTACCTGTGACTGTCCCAGCCTGTCTATAAGAGCTGCCAGGTGTTACCTGTGACTGTCCCAGCCTGTCTATAAGAGCTGCCAGGTGTTACCTGTGACTGTCCCAGCCTGTCTATAAGAGCTGCCAGGTGTTACCTGTGACTGTCCCAGCCTGTCTATAAGAGCTGCCAGGTGTTACCTGTGACTGTCCCAGCCTGTCTATAAGAGCTGCCAGGTGTTACCTGTGACTGTCCCAGCCTGTCTATAAGAGCTGCCAGGTGTTACCTGTGACTGTCCCAGCCTGTCTATAAGAGCTGCCAGGTGTTACCTGTGACTGTCCCAGCCTGTCTATAAGAGCTGCCAGGTGTTACCTGTGACTGTCCCAGCCTGTCTATAAGAGCTGCCAGGTGTTACCTGTGACTGTCCCAGCCTGTCTATAAGAGCTGCCAGGTGTTACCTGTGACTGTCCCAGCCTGTCTATAAGAGCTGCCAGGTGTTACCTGTGACTGTCCCAGCCTGTCTATAAGAGCTGCCAGGTGTTACCTGTGACTGTCCCAGCCTGTCTATAAGAGCTGCCAGGTGTTACCTGTGACTGTCCCAGCCTGTCTATAAGAGCTGCCAGGTGTTACCTGTGACTGTCCCAGCCTGTCTATAAGAGCTGCCAGGTGTTACCTGTGACTGTCCCAGCCTGTCTATAAGAGCTGCCAGGTGTTACCTGTGACTGTCCCAGCCTGTCTATAAGAGCTGCCAGGTGTTACCTGTGACTGTCCCAGCCTGTCTATAAGAGCTGCCAGGTGTTACCTGTGACTGTCCCAGCCTGTCTATGAAGAGCCTGTCTATAAGAGCTGCCAGGTGTTACCTGTGACTGTCCCAGCCTGTCTATAAGAGCTGCCAGGTGTTACCTGTGACTGTCCCAGCCTGTCTATAAGAGCTGCCAGGTGTTACCTGTGACTGTCCCAGCCTGTCTATAAGAGCTGCCAGGTGTTACCTGTGACTGTCCCAGCCTGTCTATAAGAGCTGCCAGGGTGTTACCTGTGACTGTGTTACCTGTGACTGTCCCAGCCTGTCTATAAGAGCTGCCAGGTGTTACCTGTGACTGTCCCAGCCTGTCTATAAGAGCTGCCAGGTGTTACCTGTGACTGTCCCAGTCTATAAGAGCTGCCAGGTGTTACCCTGTCTATAAGAGCTGCCAGGTGTTACCTGTGACTGTCCCAGCCTGTCTATAAGAGCTGCCAGGTGTTACCTGTGACTGTCCCAGCCTGTCTATAAGAGCTGCCAGGTGTTACCTGTGACTGTCCCAGCCTGTCTATAAGAGCTGCCAGGTGTTACCTGTGACTGTCCCAGCCTGTCTATAAGAGCTGCCAGGTGTTACCTGTGACTGTCCCAGCCTGTCTATAAGAGCTGCCAGGTGTTACCTGTGACTGTCCCAGCCTGTCTATAAGAGCTGCCAGGTGTTACCTGTGACTGTCTATAAGAGCTGTGTTACCTGTGACTGTCCCAGCCTGTCTATAAGAGCTGCCAGGTGTTACCTGTGACTGTCCCAGCCTGTCTATAAGCCTGTCTATAAGCTGCCAGGTGTTACCTGTGACTGTCCCAGCCTGTCTATAAGAGCTGCCAGGTGTTACCTGTGACTGTCCCAGCCTATAAGAGCTGCCAGGTGTTACCTGTGACTGTCCCAGCCTGTCTATAAGAGCTGCCAGGTGTTACCTGTGACTGTCCCAGCCTGTCTATAAGAGCTGCCAGGTGTTACCTGTGACTGTCCCAGCCTGTCTATAAGAGCTGCCAGGTGTTACCTGTGACTGTCCCAGCCTGTCTATAAGAGCTGCCAGGTGTTACCTGTGACTGTCCCAGCCTGTCTATAAGAGCTGCCAGGTGTTACCTGTGACTGTCCCAGCCTGTCTATAAGAGCTGCCAGGTGTTACCTGTGACTGTCCCAGCCTGTCTATAAGAGCTGCCAGGTGTTACCTGTGACTGTCCCAGCCTGTCTATAAGAGCTGCCAGGTGTTACCTGTGACTGTCCCAGCCTGTCTATAAGAGCTGCCAGGTGTTACCTGTGACTGTCCCAGCCTGTCTATAAGAGCTGCCAGGTGTTACCTGTGACTGTCCCAGCCTGTCTATAAGAGCTGCCAGGTGTTACCTGTGACTGTCCCAGCCTGTCTATAAGAGCTGCCAGGTGTTACCTGTGACTGTCCCAGCCTGTCTATAACAGCTGCCAGGTGTTACCTGTGACTGTCCTCGCCTGTCTATAAGAGCTGCCAGGTGTTACCTGTGACTCTTTGTCCTCTGCTGCTTTCTCTGTGTCCTCCTTGTCCTGTGGCTGGTCCTCCGGCCTGTCCCCAGACTTGTCTTCTGTCTTGTCTTCTGACCGGTTGGCAGTGTCGGCCTTGTTTCGGGCTCGCTCCAGCTCCAGCAACTTCTCTTTCTCCTTGTACAGCTGCTCCGACTTCTTCATCTGCTGCTGGGAGCTGATCAGTTGCTGCAGGAGAGAAGAGGGTGAGACAGTGAGTGAGCTGAATATAGAAATATTCCCCATATATTACTATATGGCAGGGGTCATAATAAATGAAAATGTCATTGACTTCTAGCTTCCTTAAGCACTTAATCCTTAATCTTGGGGGATCTGACACAAAGGGCTCGACACTGGGGGCTCGACACTGGTGCCTTCACACTAGGGGCTCGTTTGTGGGGCTTTACACTGGGGGCTTGACACTGGGGGCTTGACACTGGGGCTTGGCATTGGGGGCTTGACACTTGGGGCTTGCAATTGGGGGCCTGACACTAGGGCCATAACATCGGAGGCTTGACACTGGGGGCTTGACATTGGGGGCTGACACTGGGGCTTGACATTGGGGGCTTGACACTTGGGGCTTGCAATTGGGGGCCTGACACTAGGGCCATAACATCGGAGGCTTGACCCTGGGGGCTTGACATTGGCGGCTTGACATTGGGGGCTGACACTGGGGCTTGACATTGGGGGCTTGACACTTGGGGCTTGCAATTGGGGGCTTGACACTAGGGCAATAACATTGGAGGCTTGACACTGGGGACTTGACATTGGGGGCTTGACACTGGGGGCTTGACAATGGGGGCTTGACATTGGGGGCTTGACACTAGGGGCTTGACATTGGGGGGCTTGACACTAGGTGCTTGACACTGAATTTTTGACATTGGGGGCTTGACCCTGGGGGCTTGACCCTGGGGGCTTGACATTGGGGTCTTGACACTGGGGACCAATACAAGGGGCCTGACACTGAGCACTTGATAAAGGGTACATATTCTTCCCTGGAAATGCCCATGTGGTAAAGATGCTTTGAACGCTGCCTCAACCACACCATGACAGCTCAGTTAAGGAGGAAAGACCCAGAACCTTGTTATTCAGAATCTAACAGGACAGTGGTTTCAAAGGGGGGTATGTACTGGGAATATAACAAAAACCTGGAAGTTTTCTCTGTAAAGAAACACTGTGACCAAACTTGACAAGACCTCATAGACTTGAAACTTGGTTCAAGTACTAAGCTGACACTGAAAGTTAGTTAAATACTGTTGTGAAATATAATCAGTTACGTTATGGCATGAGAAGGATCATGGTGAATACATAACCTGGGCTACAGTTCTTCATACTCTGATGTAAACCTCACCTGCTGCATCCCCTGTAGAGCGTTCTGTAAGGCTCGGATCTGTTTGTCCTTCTCCTCCAGTGAGTTGAGAGACTCTTGTTTGATCAAGTCCACCTCGTTCTTGTATGCCTCCATCTGACATTTCAGTGTGTCATTCTCATCCTTCAGACTGTTGACCACACTGCTGGTGTCCCCTGGAATATAGCCTACACCATGTCAGTTACAACTGTGCTCATGTCTACTCCTACAGTTAGTTACAACAGACAAGACTAGACAAACCAATGATTGATATCATGAGCAAAGGTCTCTGACAAGGGATAAAATGACATGCAACAGTCAAGTCACTGAACCTGAGTGAGTGAGTTTAGTTTTACGCCGCACTCAGCAATATTCCAGCTTTATGACGCCGGTCTGTAAATAATCGAGTCTGGACCAGAAAGTCCAGCATGAGCATCGATCTGTGCTATTAGGATACGATGAGATGTGACAACTAAGTCAGCGAGCCTGACCACCTGATCCCGTTAGTCGCCTCTTACGACAAGCATGGGTTACTGAAGATCAATATTCTAGCCCGGACCTTCACAGGTCACTGACCCTGGTCACAAGATCCACTAGATTGCTTCATAACACCAGCATAGGAGTTTGAAACCTAACAAAGCTTTCATGGATCAAATGCTTGCATGAAAAACAGTCATTCAAGTTGTTGCATCAGTATGGACAAGGGACCTGCATTGCATGTCTTGAAGGAGTGAATGAGTTCGGCTGTATTCCAGCAAAATTCACTTGGGACACCAGGAGGGTCTTCAAAGACTGTACTTATTTGGGGAATCAAATCCAGTCCGTTGACATGATGAGCAAACACTTTGACCACTTGGCCAACGGCCCTGTATGATATCGAAGTACAAGGATATTCATTATTTACTTTCTTTACAGGTACATCAGTTATTATACATGAAGAATAATATTGTGGCCACACACAAACAGTTACTGTTCACAATTCTGTCCACATTAGAGATACCATAGCTGGTCTGATCAACAGAGAGGCGAGTGGATGAAGGGACCAAAACAACTCAAAACCACCTTTAAGATTATGTCAGCTAAAAAACAGAACAGGAGAACATTATCCAAGCTTTTCAAGGCAAGTAAATCAAAATAAACAATACACTGTCACCTAGAACACAACTCATAAACAGGGGTAACTGGAACTGTCTCTTGTTATTTGAGAATAAGTTTTATTCAATGTTTGTCCCTGGTGCAGAGGTCCCTGATGATTTTCAGTGCTTGTCACAAAAAACATCCTCACATTCAACTCATTGTATGTGATTGTATTAACATGGTTGATGAGGAGAAGCACCATCCATTTTTAATGCATTATGTAAATCACTCGAGAGATAAATCTACACCACTGTCACACACCAGTGATGAAAATCAATCATGCTACAGCATATCTATGTTTCATCTGCAACTTGAACCACCATGACCCATGAGCCTCATCTAGTCTTGATAAATACATGGTGCAGATAACAACACTCTCTAGATCGTCATCTAGTCATTATACATACATAGTGCAGATAACCAACACCCTCTAGAGCCTCATCTAGTCTGTATACATACAAAGTGCAGATAACAACACCCTCTAGAGCCTCATCTACTCTTTATACATACAAAGTGCAAATAACAACACCCTCTAGAGCCTCATCTAGTCTTTATACATACAAAGTGCAGATAACAACACCCTCTAGAGCCTCATCTAGTCTGTATACATACAAAGTGCAGATAACCAACACCCTCTAGAGCCTCATCTAGTCTTTATACATACAAAGTGCAGATAACAACACCCTCTAGAGCCTCATCTAGTCTTTATACATACATAGTGCAGATAACAACACCCTCTAGAGCCTCATCTAGTCTTTATACATACATAGTGCAGATAACAACACCCTCTAGAGCCTCATCTTGTCTTTATACATACATAGTGCAGATAACAACACCCTCTAGAGCCTCATCTAGTCTTTATACATACATAGTGCAGATAACAACACCCTCTAGACCCTCACCTAGTCGACACACACAAATGGTGCAGATATCTATCAACATCCTCAAGAGCCTCATCTAGTCGACACACGCAAATGGTGCAGATATCTACCAACACCCTCAAGAGCCTCACCCAGTTGACACACACAAATGGTGCAGATATCTAACAACACCCTCAAGAGCCTCACCTAGTCGACACACACAAATGGTGCGGATATCTACCAACATCCTCAAGAGCCTCACCTAGTCGACACACACAAATGGTGCAAATATCTAACAACACCCTAAAGAGCCTCACCTAGTCGACACGAAACAAATGGTGCAGATATCTAACAACACCCTCAAGAGCCTCACCTAGTCGACACACAAATGTGCAAATATCTAACAACACCCTCAAGAGCATCACCTAGTCGACACACACAAATGGTGCAAATATCTAACAACACCCTCAAGAGCCTCACCTAGTCAACGCACACAAATGGTGCGGATATCTAACAACACCCTCAAGAGCCTCACCTAGTCGACACACACAAATGGTGCGGATATCTACCAACACCCTCAAGAGCCTCACCTAGTCGACACACACAAATGGTGCAAATATCTAACAACACCCTCAAGAGCCTCACCTAGTCGACACACACAAATGGTGCGGAAATCTACCAACACCCTCTAGAGCCTCACCTAGTCGACACACACAAATGGTGCAAATATCTACCAACACCCTCTAGAGCCTCACCTAGTCGACACACACAAATGGTGCAAATATCTACCAACACCCTCAAGAGCCTCACCTAGTCGACACACACAAATGGTGCAAATATCTAACAACACCCTCTAGAGACTCACCTAGTCGACACACACAAATGGTGCAAATATCTCACAACACCCTCTAGAGCCTCACCTAGTCGACACACACAAATGGTGCAAATATCTAACAACACCCTCTAGAGACTCATGTGAAAATAAAATTGGAGCAGGTCATGGATGTACTTTTTGGGAACAAAGACCAGGGATTTCATACTGACATACCACGGATCATAATCCATAGTAATAGTAAACGCGAGATTTGAACCAAAGATCTTTGGATCCTGCACAACAAAGGGACATAACATTCCACATAGCTAATAGTGACCATCTGCTGAAATTATCAAACTATACGTCCATATTACCTATTACCATCCCTGAAAGTCAGCTCAAGATATGAACAGCATAAGAAACTTAATTAATGACTGACATAATTAGTGGCTGATGACTTATCTTGTCTATGAAATTCTCCGTGAAATTTCGAGCCTACCTGCACCGGGTGCCTGGCCGGCTGTGTCGGTCTTCCTCTTCTTGGCTGGTCCATCACCATCCTCATCAGACATCTCCATTTCGTCCTCTTGTCTTTCACTGAGGAACTCCTCCTGCTGGGCAACTCGGATCTCCTGAAACACAACAGCACATGATGACCCACTGCCTCCCACTCGGACATCCACACACACCCATGAAGCATCGGACGTACAACTGTCTCCCACTCGGACATCCACACACACCCATGAAGCATCGGACGTACAACTGTCTCCCACTCGGACATCCACACACACCCATGAAGCATCGGACGTACAACTGTCTCTCTAGGATACCAATACACTATACTATAGTGATCCATCTGTTAAGTTGCAATGACAGTCTATCCAATACTTCATCATTGACATTACCTGGCATATTTTGTCCCAATAGTACATCTGTTTGAAAAGAACAAACTCATTTGTGGGTAGAAGTGAGTGAGTTTGGTTTTACGCCGCTTTTAACAATATTCCAGCAACATCACGGCGGGGGACACCAGGAATGGGCTTCACACATTGTACCCAAGTGGGGAATCGAACCGGGTCCTCAGCGTGAAGAGCCAACGCTTCACCCACTAGGCTACCCCACCGCCCCTGTGGGTAGAAGCATTGAGACAGCTTCATATGCTGCACAGTGTATAGTTAACAGGATTAAACCAGCTAAATATACAAGAGAAACATAATCAACAAATCTGTCTATAAAGGACTCTTACTAACCCAGATCTTTTCTGACGCTGGACCCCAATGGTGGTCCCTTACCATTCTTTACCTACCTTTGCTTAATTATCTACTTTCCCCATGAGACTTACACACTGGATTCTTTTCAAATTAAATGAAGTTTCACATGTAAGATTAACACATGCATAATCATCTGTAGTGAAGGGTACACTAGCAATATCTGCTCTCCTTCACAATATACATATCCACAAAAGTCCAGCTGAAGAGAGGTTGATGGTTAGACAAGTCACCCACTTGTTCCTGGACACAAACCACACCCCTCCATATCTGGGCATATGATCTACAGGCGACTAACATACATACCAAATCCTCCAGAGCTGCGGCAGCGGTGCCACAACCTGCTCGACTGTCCTACTCACTGTGTCACACAGCACAATGAGGAGCTCTCAGTGAGAAATAGCAAGTTAGCAGGGTCCTCAGAGACTTGTCACAATGCCATCCCATAAATAAAGCATAGATCAGGAAATATCAGCCAGGCTGGGTCAATTTACACTTTGCAGTATAAAATATACGATCAGCCTGAAAAGGTTTCAATGAGGAGCAGTGGCATATTTCATGAGCCTGGTTGGAGACTGATGCTGGCATATATATGAATGTGGAGGGTAAATTATTGACGTGTTATTGAATGGCTTATAAGACTATCCATCACTCGGTGTCCTTCACAGATACTGTCCAGCTCACAGGTACAGCTGACATGGCTGGTGTCACTCACTCACTCACTGACAGTTGCTGATTAACACTCAATCTTTGTTGGCATTGTACAAGCTTAAATTTTTAGATGACCGAAATCGTCATCTAAGAAGGTCCTTAACGAACCTAAGCAAGTCTTGAGTGAGTTGAGAGAGCTGCCTTAAACAGCATTTCCAGCTGTGAGAGAGAAGTCTCGAGGGACACATGTCAGACATTTACCACTGTGGTGAAACCCACAATCAAGTATGATGCTCTCAAAACTAGAAATTCAATCGAGGTTGACCAGGATTCGAAACCATTACCATAAGTTTCTGTCATACTTCAAAACAAACTTTTAAGATTTGTTTCAAATAAATAATCAGCTTTATACCGCCTGAGTAACAATTGCAAAAATTAGGTGAAGATTTTCATCTAAATTTTAGATTTTAATGATTCTGTTAATATGTTAAATATTTTGTATTTACTTTATCGGTGGAGGGGTGAGGGGGCTGTTACGTCATTCAAATCTTTCATGTTACCAAGCTGACAAAACAAACAGCCTATCAAGTAAACACTACCCCGGAAGTTGTGGTGTTATTTAATACTACATTCAGCTATAAGCCATAATTTGTTGTTTTACAAACTGAGTCATCCATTCAACAAACACTGACAGTTGATAAAGCTTCTCTACATGCCCGGTATTGATCAGCCATTAATTATTGATAGCCACCAAAACAATCGTCCTGCCAGAGAGCATTGATATTGGAGATTTTAACCACAAGAGAATTAAGGATGAAAAGAGTTCCTGGAGTTGGTCAGTATTTGGAACTTATTGAAAACTCTTTCAAAGAGCACAGGCACATCAAAATTTGATGATCTTGTCTTTTCTATGTTGAGTGATAGAGAGACATCAGACATCCGCTTCACACATCCTACCCATGTGGGGATTCTGTGTTGAGAAGTCTTACAATCTACACAAGTAATCTCCACATAATCTTTTATCTGGGACTACACCTGTTTCAGTAAGATACAAATCTTGGTACGTTTAGGGGTAAACTATCATTGTACTGTAGATCACTCGTGATCACCTTCAGGTTAATCTGAGTACTCAATATCCTGAATCCTGAGTTTCATTTCCAGACTGAGACAAAACAGGAAACCACTGAATAATTTCATGCTGATGCCATAAAAAATCATTTAGTGATTATTGATTATTCAAATCAATTATTGACATGTGAGAAGCTGGTACACAGAACACTTTTTTAATTGACAAATTCCTCATGAATTTCTCACAGTCCCTATTGAGGCATGAAGCTTTTCCTTAACTGTATTGAGGAATGATTGTACTGACTTTACAGTTCATCAAGTTTTTCTTTCTTTTCGGGGTGGATATAAAACATTGGTTCAAGTTACTGAGCATGAGAGGAATTTTGAAATATGTTAATCTACTGTTCATGGTAATATTAAATGAAACTATGACCACAGTTTCTCTCCTTAACAAATGACACCACAGCAGTGGATGGGTTAATGACACAACAGCAGTGGATGGGTTAGTGACACGACAGCAGTGGATGGGTTAATGACACCACAATCCCCATGGTGAAATTACACAAATGTTCAAAACATTTGTGGGTATTGTTTACATTAGGCAAATTGCAATGGTCCAGTGTGGAGCTGCAGACTTTCAGTTGATAGCACTGTGGTGAACACATGGGGCAGTTTATGACGGTTCATCCCTCAGCGACTCTCCCGGGTACAGGCTCTAGCTCAAGTGCATAGGCAGCCACAGGTTGTCAGGTACAACTGACTCAAAAAATATCATTCCTGACATCCAGAACAGGTGATCTTGAGTGAGTGAGTGAGTTTAGTTTTACGCCACTCAGCAACATTCCAGCCATATGGCCACAGTGTGTAAATAAATAATCGAGTCTGGACCAGACAATCCATTGATCAACAGCATGAGCACTGATCTGCGTAATTGGGAACCGATGACATGTGTCAACCAAGCCAGTGAGCCTGACCACCCGATCCCGTTAGTCGCCTCTTACGTCAGGCATGGGTTACTGAAAGTTCATTCCAACCCGGACCTTCACAGGTAGGTGATCTTGAAGTAAATGATGATGAAATGAAATATTCATAAATGAATACTTATGTGATTTATGAATTACAGCTACCTACTGCATATTACCGCACCTGAAATTGCCTCAACGCGTTTTGGGAGGAACTTGAATTTTTACAAGTGTTTGAAAAATGCAAAAGGAAACAGATCAGGCTAATATTTTCTGTTCAATGCTTGATTCCTAAAGGACACAAACAGGCATAGAGCATAGTGTGTGTTCAATTCCACATCCAGCAATATGCTTGTTGTATGGCAATGTAAATAATGAGTCTAGACCATACCATCTTGTGATTGACATCATCACCCAGAATATGATGATGTCCTTCAACAAGGTCCCTGAGTGAGTGAGTTTGATTTGACGCCGCTTTTAGCAATATTCCAGCAATATCATGGCGAGGGACACCAGAAATGGGCTTCACACATTTTACCCATGTGGGGAATCGAACCCGGGCCTTCGGCGTGCCGAGCGAACGCTTTACCCACTAGGCTACCCCATCGCCCCACAAGGTCCCTGAGCCTGACCTACCGATCGATCCAGTTAGATGCCTCTTGCAACAAGCAAGCGTTGTGTAGAACCAATTCTGATACGGAATCTTCACAAGTAAGGAGTGAGAGAATTTGGTTTACAGCTGATTTGATTAGTATTCCAGTTATATCAGGACATAAAGGAGATTCTACACCACTTTTGGCAATATTCCAGAAATATCACTGCAGGGAACACCAGAAATGGGCTTCACACATTGTACCAATGTGGGGAATCGAACCTGGGTCTTCGATGTGACAAGTTAACACTTTAACCACTAGGCTACCCAACTGCCCCAAAGGAGACAAGACAAACATCATCCATGCAGCCTTCGACAGTATATCAGTTCTATCACTGAATGTCACCTGGGTGTGGGGAGGGTCACATTGTCCCTGACTGGGGTATGGTGTTGTCACGCACAGGGTCATGATCAGAATAGATCTAAGATTAAAATCTAGGATTCAAACCTAGGAGCAGCGGATCCTACCCAAACCAAGGGATGCAACCTAGATGCTACAACACAATTAGTGTCGTAAAACTTCTGAAAACTAGGTATACAAAGCTAATATACTGATCTACAAATATGACATAGAAACACAAGGGCCTGTATTGCTGAAAATAATACATCCTCGGATAAACACTCATTCACTGATAGCCATCTACATATAAAAAGGTATTTTATCAGTGAACGAGTGTTGGACCTAGGACGTATTATTTTAAGCAATACACGCCTTGTGCACAGAAACAGATCCAGATTTGTATATTTGATATGAAAAAGTGTCTATCGATAGTTTAGTAATTTACTTCGGTCAATAAATGTGAAGCGAAAAAAACAGGATGTGTGGGTGCATACTTGTAGCTACATTCACTTCATGCTTTAACTGTTTACTTAATTTGGGTTTCAAGTTTCTTGTCACTCATTAAAGGAGACTGAAACTACTTCAGCTTGTTTATATTTCATATACACTATACATTCATTTGGAAAAGGACTTCAAATGAGACAATTCAAGGAGAAAAAAGTATTGCAATATTATTTTGTCTTTTTGTTTTGTTAAAAGAAAGATTTCTGTTAATGATTTCTGTTAATGATTTCTGTTAATGATTTCTTACATGCAGCGGTGCTGAAATCCCATGTTGCTTTCAGTTTCCATGATTGGCAGGTAAATTTGTTTTGGTCAAAAGGATGGGTTTTTTTTTTCAATTTCTAGGGAATATTCTGAAACCATCTACATGGCCGTTTGAGGAATAATTAACATAAGACTGACCATCTAGAACAGGCCTAGGTTGCCTTATCTTGCTCCTGATAGGAAGCGTCACCTAATTTATCAGCCATGACTGGATCATCTCATGTCATTTTACCTGTACTACCATTGTTACACCTGGTGGTACCTCGTTAAACTCAACCAGGCTACTTTCACACAAAAAGTGAATGTAGGTAAACAACAAACATTTTATTAGAATGTACAAAATCAATATTCATCGAAAACCATGATGACAGATTTACCTTGACCACACCTGTGCTTACCGCTGTATCTCCTGACCAGGTACCACTGTCCACCACAGAACAAGACTGGTGAAGCAGACCAAGGCTAGCTGTGGATGGACTGATCTCCACGATGAGAGACCAGAGATGTTCACTGACAATGGTCTGCAGGCTGAGTTCAGTAATGGAGATCTCAAGGCATCCATTCTCCTTCTATATTCTTTGTCTTTCTCAGTTTTACAAAGTGCTCATGACACCTCAAACTAAAGTCTCACCATTGCCATATATCATCAGTCCAGATTAACCATTTAATGTTTTTCTGGAAGCCATGTGAAGAGCTAAGACTGCTGTGTGGTCCATCTGACCATCACATCTGGAGAGAATGAGTTAGTGAAGGACGTGTACTGCCAAATCAGCAGTTTTAAGCTATATATGGCATTGTGTCACATCTGGAGCAAATAGTGAGTTTGTTTCAGGAAGAATCTATGTCAAACTACCCAAGAAGCTGCAACTCTGACCTTCCTCAAAGGGCTACAAAATTTTATTTTCACTGCAGACAATAGCCATCTACCACAATAACAAAACTGGTAGACCAAAAGGAAGCGTCACTTTTCTCTAGAATTCTCTTGGTGTCGGACTAGCGGACTTTGAATAATTTCTATTCCAGTATAAGACACAAATTTTTCTCTCTTACAAAGCAATCAATTGCACTGGTGTAACCAGGGTAACAGCCCACTTCACTCTGACAGATTTATTCCCCAACATAATAAAGAATCGACTTCATTATATTTGGGTTTTGATATTTTTTTTTAAATACCTGAGTGCAAATTGTGCAAATTGTGCAAATTGTGCAAAGTGTGCGCATCTGTTTCACCTGTTTCTATGTCCATATAATGCAAAACATATTTCTTAGAAGTTCAATTTTCTCAAATACCACAAACCAAAATTTTCTTAGACTCTGGTCAGTGAATTCACCCAAATTTGCAGCTTCTTGGACATTTTGCCGCAATCCTTCCTGCTGCGAGACTGTGTTACTAACCTCTGCTTGTTTGCACCAGACGTCAATGTTCTTGCGTTGAGCCTTGGTGAAGTGATCCCATGCTCGCTGTTTGGTGGCGGTGCTAAATACCCGCGCTATCTGATCAACTTGAAGAAACAGGGTGTCCGCCGTTAGATACATACCAACGTCCCAGTCTACGCGATTACTCACCACGTCAGCACAGACAGGCAGAGGATACTGGAAATCATGGCCGTTGACAAGGATCGGGTGCATTATACTTAGGCACCATTTGTATAAGGACGTAAAAGGCTGATCGGATCAACACTGTTCTGAGCTAAGCTACACAATAAGTGACTGTAGTATAATCAAGACACAATAAGTAATTACTCCTGTTTTTTCATTAACTGTTTTGCTTCTTAGCCCACAGCAGTATTCCAACTTTATAATGGTGGACAGTAAATACTTGAGGCTGAATGAGACAATCGAGTGGTTAATATTATGAGCAGCGGCTGTGTCATACAGCCATCTTGGGTCACTTGGCACCAATTGCACCTAGTATCAGTGTATGAAATAAGCCAAAAACTCGGCCAGACAGTGACCCGGCCAAATGTTACCAGCCTAAAATGGATTGAACCAGACCAGACACCAAGATATGATGAATTTAGTAGGATGCATGGAAAATCTAAAAAAAATTACCAGACCATCAGGCTGTAAATTTAGACCGTCCGTCAGAAATCTAGCCCGTCTCGAGGCGGTCGGACGGGCCTTATTTCATACACTGCTAGTATTCACCCATATTAGGGAGCTTACCTTCCATGTGAGACTCCTAGTGCTCCACACGACATGACTGAACATTGTCTTATGCCACACTCACCAATATTCCTTCTTTAACACAATGATCTGGCAGACAAACCAGCAGCCGAGTCACAGGCAATCACAGACAACTGGCAGGGGTGTGGAAATATCAATTTGTCCCTGGACAAATATTCACATGTCCAGATAACTGACCCAAGATGGTATTTTCATCATGACATCTGTCTTTTACTTTCTATGATTTCAGGTTAATTTATTGGTTACATTTTACCACTATAAACAAAGGATTCATAATACTCTCAGTCATAATGGAACACATGCACTCAAATGAAAGCTTTATGCACAGTGCAATCTGCCATGATTTCTGGTATGTTGTACAACTGGATACGTGGTACTCGGAACAACCCATCAGAGACATGTTCACAGAGCATGACTGTCATCAGAACAAGGAAGATTACAATATTTTGCTCTTAGATGACTTGGTGATACTGGAGATGTCTGAACATTTTGAAAGCTATATCTGGAAGCTGTTATGAATATTGTATCAAATCAGACTAAACATCTGCAATAGTTTTAAGGAGTCTGCGAGCAACTAAGTCTGACTTTTTATGTTTGTATTACACAATGAAGTGGTCAACTCAGGCAGTCATCATTCCACACCCCTTTCTGGGAATCTCTTTAATTGAAAAACCTTGATCATCGTATCTATTTGAGCCAAGGTTAAAATTGACAAGTTCATCTAAAAGGTGATTATTTCTCTGACCTCTTGCATCCCCGGCCATGATTTCCATCCTCCACTTGCCAACATTGGACTTACGCCATCCCTGTACACAATCTGCTGCCTTGTGTTTCCCACAGAATGATACAGTCAATATATACCACACTTGCATCATACCTTGTGATGGTAAACATGACATAATGCTAGAGAACTTCCTGGAGTTGCCTTCAGATGTTGCAAAACCCACCATAACATAATATTTTAGCCAAATGGACATTTATAACAAAAAAACCTGCTTGCTTTATATTTTTGAAAGACTTTCTATCAAATTGTTTTCAACAATATAGTTTCAGGAACTCACTGGAAGAAACACAAGGGTACCAGAATATTTCAAACAGCTGTCTGCCTTAATCACGTCAATACTGTAATGCTTTACCTGACTTAAGCAACATCAGAGTGAGTGAGTGAGGGAGTGAGAGAGTTGGGCTCAGTGCTGCTTTAAACAGTATTTCAGTTTTGAGCATGTCACCTTAACGCAGGAGGGCAAAGTGACACAAGCTGTACACCCCCTTTCAACAAAGTACCATCACTCACTGACCAGAGCCTGGCACAGGTAAGGCCTGCAACTCTGTTGTGAGTTGCTGCACCAGTGCTGAAGAGTCAATGCAACATTTACACCTGCATATGTACATATACCTGGGATGAATATACAAACTTCTGTACACTAGTTCCAGCTATTCCCCTGATACCTGTACACGAAGAACCCATCAGATACCTACCTGTCCCTACAGGACTGTGGTGAGTCATGCTACCTGCAGCCTTTTCATCTAACAAACATTTACAGGGAGGTCACAAACAGGGAGATTATCTTTAAAAGAACCATAATTATCTCCCGTATATCAATAAGTTTTTTTCCAACCAACATAATCATTTATGTCATTTATGAAATGTCTGTTAATCATTAAGTTTTATATTGTTTCGCAAAGGGAAATGAAGAAAACGATTATCAAATAATTGTTGTGAAGCTGTGATTTTCAACATGAAATCTCAATGGTATAACAGCCCTACAAGTTAACATTAATAATGGCTGCAGGAAGCATTCTTACACCACAATAAACTTCCAGTCATATTTCAGCTAGTGTGCCGTCCTCCTGTTCTACACCTTCATGTGTGTCTACATATATCATGTATGTGTACCTACACCTTTGTGACAGCATGGTCACAACAACATGGTATTTGCTTCATTGGATATATCTGGTTAAACATTAGGAATATCACCTGTGATCATGGTGATGCTTTTAACTTGGAAAATTCTTTCCAAAAGATCAAAAACATAACACATGCATTTGTGCCTCTTGATTTAAGCATGCATCATCCAAGAATATAAGTCAATGATGTTATTATCTGAGTTAAAGTAGCACAGCATTTTGAATGTGGCTATATTTTTCACCCTCACCTCCAAACAAACCTCCAACTACAGTGGCCCAATGAACACAAATACGATGCAAACTGTTGTGACTTACAGACCATCTGCCACAGATGGTACCCATGTTGAGAACTGAACGCTGGCTTTCTGCATGATGATGGTCAAACCTGATGACCACCTGGACACAGGTGAGGCCATGATGCAGGTGAGAGCAGAACTATGAGTGGAGAGGGCATACTCTCACTGTGTGTGAGCGGAGCTTGAGTACTCACATTGCCTGATGATGTCCTGGAAGCGGAACATTGACTGCTGCTTCACCCGCTGCACCTCCTCCTCGTTCTGCTGCTTCTCCATGAGCAAACGGCGCACGTGGGAATTGATACACTGGATCATGCTGTAGAAGGAGGCGTTGGTGCGCCTATTACAGTCGCCCTTCTCCATCCAGGAAACCAGAATCTCAGATGCATTCATGAAATCCTCATCACCTGGACACAAATGACAGAAAACATCAGGTAATAGGTAGGATGTAGTCCACTGATTGATCTGTACTTGAACTCTTCAATACAACAGGCCATTTATATTGTGACATATTTCCACACCAAACAAGGGAATGCTCAGAGTGTTATTACCCTGGTCAGTGGATCAATGTACACACAATGTAATTATCAGATCACCGAGAAGCATGCAACAGTCACATCTCACCCCACCAGGTACCCATTCTGGGTGAACCGAGGCATATTTTGAGTGAAGAGATACCACATATGCTACTTGTTGCTGACCTAGGGACTGTTCATAATTTATGGCTTGGAAAGTGGGGGTGGATGCTGATTTTAGGGAGGGGGGTGGGGGGTTTGTCACCCATTTTGTTCTGGGGAGCTAGGGTCACTTATTTTGTACATAAATTTTAGGTGGGGTCATTCACATTGTACATGCTTCCTCATAAAAATCATCATCACTTCCCCAAGCCATAAATTATGAACGGTCCCCTAGAAACCCAGAAGCTGCTGCACCCGTTGCTACACCTTGTGGCCGCTGCTGCAGCTGCTCCCTCTGTGACCCCTGCTACACCTAGTAGGCCTTGCTTCCCATAATGCCCCTTGCTACATCTAGTGGCCCATGCTTCCTATAATGGCCCCATGTGCCTCTTTTGCCCCTGGTGGCCCCTCCTTCCCATAATGTCCCTTGCTGCTAATAAAGGTCATTGGTCACTGCTTCGCCAAGTGGCCCCTCTAACACCTAATGACCTGCTACACCTTGGCCCTCTACTGCTACACCCCTGCTGTGACCTCTAATGGCCCCTAGTGGCCCCTGCCCCTGCTACACCTTAGTGGACCTGCTACACCTACAGCTAATGGCCCCTAGTGGCCCCTGCTATACCTTAAGACTGCTACACCTTGACCTACCCTTGACCTCTACGGCCTGTAGTGACCCCTAGTGCTACACCCCTGACCCTACTACACTCCTAGCATGGCCCTAGTGGCCCCTGCTACACCTTTTGGACCCTGCACGGCCCTGACCTCTACTACAGTGACCTCTACAGACCCCCTAGTGGCCCCTGCTCAGACCACTACGCCCCTGGTGGCCCTCTTTCTTGCTACACACCTTATGACTTCTACACCTACACACCTTTTTGAGACCTCTACCCTAGTGACCCCTGCTACACCTTACAGTGGCCCTCTAATGGCCCCTGGTAGACCTCTGCTACACCTGACTATGGTCTTGTAGTGACCCCCTTACAACACCTTAAGCACTTCTACAGCCCCTACTACACCTTGTGACCCCACGGCCCCTGGCACCTCTGACCCTATGGTCCTAGTGGCCCCTGCTACAGCTACACCCCTCCTACAGCCCCTAGTGGCCCCTGCTACACCTTCTGAGCCCCTCTACACCTTGGCCCCTGAGTGGATCTCCCCCTGCCAAGTATAACACCTCTTGAGACCTCTAATATGGTCCCTGCTACACCTCTCTGCTACCCCTCTAAAGCCCCTAGTGGCCCCTGCTACACCTTTCTTGACACCTTTCCCTCTATGGCCCCTAGTGGCCCCTGCTGCACCTTAGTGCCCCCTAGTGGCCCCTGCTACACTATGGCCCCTAGTGGCCCCTGCTACCCTACTGCTACCAGTGGCCCCTCCTACACCTTTCTGACCTCTACTGCCCCTAGTGGCCCCTGCTACACCTTTCTGCTACACCTTCCCCTAGTGGGCCCCTAGTGGCCCCTGCCTGCTACACCTTCTGGCCCCTGCTTACACCTTCTGACCCCACGGCCCCTAGTGGTCTCCCCCTGCTACACCTCCTACACCTTCTCTGCCCCTCTCAATGGCCCCTAGTGCTACACCTCTGACCCCACGGCCCCTAGTGGCCCCTGCTACACCTGGGCCCTGACCTCTTCTGTCCCTGCTACACGGCCCCTAGTGGCCCCTGCTACACCTTCTGACTGCCCCCTCACCTTCTGACCCCACGTCCCCTAGTGGCCCCTGCTACTCTAATGGTCCCTGCTACACCTCCTACTCCTAATGGTCCCTGCTCCACCATAGTGGCCCCCTGTTGCCCCCTTCTGACACTGCTACTCTACGGCCCCTAATGGTCCCTGTTCTGAGATACTTGTTGCCTCCCCATATATGTACCCTGCTGCTGTTGAGATACCATATATGTACCCCCGCTGCCCCAAATCCCTTTTGCCCCCTAGCTGACCCTGGCATTACCGCTGAAGCCAAGCAGCATAAACACCCTACTTTACAAACAAACTTACTTTTCAGCTTTTCAGTGAGTGACAGTGCCTCGTGTTCGGAGAAGACAATGGGTGGGGGAGGACTTGGAGGTCTCATGAGGTCCTCCTCGATGCGCTGCTGGTGTCGCATCTCCCTGGCCAGCGCACGCTGCTGGCACTCCCACTCATACTGGTCATCGCGGGCCAGTGCATAGTCCACATGGATTCGACCAGTGTTGGCCTTGTCGTCATCGTTGTCGATCTTCATTCGATAACCTGGGCAGGCATAACCGTCATTACTATAACATTTCTGAGCAGATGAGCAACACCGGGGTGCTTGGTAGCAGGAAGACACACCTGAAAAGTGCTTCACACATTGTACCATTCCAAGATTCAAACAAAGCCTTCAGTATGAAGAGTTAACGCTTCAACTGCTAAGCTATTTCAACATTACTTATTAGTCAAAGACAACATCATATCAATTATGATGATACCCCTCCAGTGCTCAATGCCACACAGTATGTTTATTACACTACAATGCTGTGAGTTGTTTTGTATACCTGAGATGAAGAGAGCCCTCTCGACACTGTCATGAAACTCGAATCTGATGTGGGAGAAGTTCTTCTTGCTGAGTCGGATGCTGACGATGTTGCCACACTTCTCGAACACTTCCTGTAGGATTTCTTCAGTGGTGTTCTCGGGCAGTCCCCCGATGAAAGCTGTGCGACAACCAGGGGGACGTTCTCGCACGCTACGAGGAGGAGCACCTGTAAAGAAAGAATCCATTATTCAATATCATCCACATATACTGGTAAGATAATTTCAAACTAGTGAGCATGTTCCGGATTAGTTCAGAAATAATCCAGTAAGATTGGTCGGCGACCAAACCAGAAATGCAATTCACACATTGTGACCATGTGGGAATCAAACACAAAACGTCTTTGAACGGAGAACGCTTTAACCACTTTGCTACCCCAATCGGACCCTCTTCAATATAAATTCAAACTGCCTCTTATCAAAAAGAAGTTTAATGGATAGAAGGATGACTGCACTAACTGAAAACACATGACTGATATATTGGGATGTATAGACGAGCCAGGAAGAATATCATGACCATCATGATCCATTAACAGGGTAATAACGTAATGCTGTGAGTATGCCTCAGGTCTGGACTTAGCAGTCACAATACATGTTCCTGAAGATATTGTCAAATGAGAGTGATTCTTTGGGTGATAAACTACGCTTTGAGAAATCACCATATGACGATGCGTACGCGCAGGCACAGGTCTTTTGTACTAGCCCAGACTGAAGCTGGTTTTATACCGCTGTCCACTGAAGATATTATGCCAGTGAAGCTATGAAAAGTGATTCTTTGAGGAAACTGAGCATAAAGTTGTACCCATTTAGGGTTTGAACAGATTATCAGCCATATTTTATATTTTAGGGGACTGGCATTCAAAGGGAAGTAACTCTTACCACTACACCAACGGATGGGATCCTGAGGGAATGTTTTGTTTTAGCGATGGTACAGATTGATCAGCCAAACATGTTGGCATTGCAAGGAAGTAACTCTTTTATGGATTAGTTTCTTTTCAATGATGGTATTTAAACATGGTGACAAGGTATGGATTTTCTGTAATTTGGATATGATTTCCTAATCTCCAAGACAAAGACACTTGTAATTAGGACCATTTCATGGATTAAATGGGAAAAATGGGCCTTTATACAGCAAATCATTATAACTTCAGGCTTTACCAAGCCAGTGCCAACCCTGAGCTTTAAAAGTACTTCATTTACCAAGGCATGTCAGATAAGTGAGTGAAGGTGTCTAGTATTACGTCGCTTTTATCAATATTCCAGCAATATCATGACGGGGAAGGGGGTACAGCACAGTAGTAACATTGAGTGACTACCTGGGGAGGGTACAGCACAGAAGTAACAGTGAGTGACTACCTGGGGAGGGGTACAGCACAGAAGCAACAGTGAGTGACTACCTGGGGGAGGGGGTACAGCACAGAAGTAACAGTGAGTGACTACCTGGGGGAGGGTACAGCACAGAAGTAACAGTGAGTGACTACCTGGGGAGGGTACAGCACAGAAGTAACAGTGAGTGACTACCTGGGGGGAGGGGGTACAGCACAGAAGTAACAGTGAGTGACTACCTGGGGGGAGGGGGTACAGCACAGAAGTAACAGTGAGTGACTACCTGGGGGAGGGGGTACAGCACAGAAGTAACAGTGAGTGACTACCTGGGGGAGGGGTACAGCACAGAAGTAACAGTGAGTGACTACCTGGGGGAGGGGTACAGCACAGAAGTAACAGTGAGTGACTACCTGGGGGAGGGGTACAACACAGAAGTAACAGTGAGTGACTACCTGGGGGAGGGTACAGCACAGAAGTAACAGTGAGTGACTACCTGGGGAGGGGGTACAGCACAGAAGTAACAGTGAGTGACTACCTGGGGGAGGGGGTACAGCACAGAAGTAACAGTGAGTGACTACCTGGGGGGAGTACAACACAGGGGTACAGCACAGAAGTAACAGTGAGTGACTACCTGGGGGAGGGGTACAACACAGAAGCAACAGTGAGTGACTACCTGGGGAGGGGGGTACAGCACAGAAGTAACAGTGAGTGACTACCTGGGGAGGGGGTACAGCACAGAAGCAACAGTGAGTGACTACCTGGGGGAGGGGTACAACACAGAAGCAGGTGAACAGTGAGTGACTACCTGGGGGAGGGTACAGCACAGAAGCAACAGTGAGTGACTACCTGGGGGAGGGGGTACAGCACAGAAGTAACAGTGAGTGACTACCTGGGGGAGGGGGTACAGCACAGAAGTAACAGTGAGTGACTACCTGGGGGAGGGGTACAGCACAGAAGTAACAGTGAGTGACTACCTGGGGAAGGGTGCAGCACAGGTACAGCACAGAAGTAACAGTGAGTGACTACCTGGGGAGGGGGTACAACACAGAAGTAACAGTGAGTGACTACCTGGGGGAGGGGGTACAGCACAGAAGTAACACAGTGAGTGACTACCTGGGGGAGGGTACAGCACAACAACACTGGGGAAGGGGTACAACACAGAAGCAACAGTGAGTGACTACCTGGGGGAGGGGTACAGCACAGAAGTAACAGTGAGTGACTACCTGGGGAGGGTACAGCACAGAAGTAACAGTGAGTGACTACCTCGGGGGGGGGGTACAGCACAGAAGTAACAGTGAGTGACTACCTGGGGGAGGGGTACAACACAGAAGTAACAGTGAGTGACTACCTGGGGGAGGGGTACAGCACAGAAGTAACAGTGAGTGACTACCTGGGGGAGGGGTACAGCACAGAAGTAACAGTGAGTGATTACCTGGGAGGGTACAGCAGCAAAGTAACAGTGAGTGACTACCTGGGGAGGGTACAGCACAGAGTAACAGTGAGTGACTACCTGGGGGAGGGGTACAGCACAGAAGCAACAGTGAGTGACTACCTGGGGGGGGGTACAGCACAGAAGTAACAGTGAGTGACTACCTGGGGGAGGGGTACAGCACAGGAAGTGAACAGTGAGTGACTACCTGGGGGAGGGGTACAGCACAGAAGTAACAGTGAGTGACTACCTGGGGGAGGGTACAGCACAGAAGTAACAGTGGTGATTACCTGGGGGAGGGTACAGCACAGAAGCAACAGTGAGTGACTACCTGGGGGAGGGTACAGCACAGAGTAACAGGTGAGTGACTACCTGGGGAGGGGGTACAACACACAGAAGTAACAGTGAGTGACTACCTGGGGGAGGGTACAGCACAGAAGTAACAGTGAGTGATTACCTGGGGGAGGGGTACAGCACAGAAGTAACAGTGAGTGACTACCTGGGGGAGGGGTACAGCACAGAAGTAACAGTGAGTGACTACCTGGGGGAGGGGGTACAGCACAGAAGCAACAGTGACACCTGGGGGAGGGACAGCACAGAAGTAACAGTGAGTGACTACCTGGGGAGGGGGTACAACACAGAAGTAACAGTGAGTGACTACCTGGGGGAGGGGTACAGCACAGAAGCAACAGTGAGTGATTACCTGGGGGAGGGGTACAGCACAGAAGCAACAGTGAGTGACTACCTGGGGGAGGGGTACAGCACAGAAGTAACAGTGGTGACTACCTGGGGGGAGGGGTACAGCACAGAAGTAACAGTGAGTGACTACCTGGGGAGGGGTACAGCACAGAAGTAACAGTGAGTGACTACCTGGGGGAGGGGTACAGCACAGAAGTAACAGTGAGTGATTACCTGGGGAGAGGGTACAGCACAGAAGTAACAGTGAGTGATTACCTGGGGGGGGTACAGCACAGAAGTAACAGTGAGTGATTACCTGGGGAGGGTACAACACAGAAGCAACAGTGAGTGACTACCTGGGGGAGGAAATATACAGTGAGTGATTACCTGGGAGGGTACAACACAGAAGCAACAGTGAGTGACTACCTGGGGGAGGGTACAAGAACAGAAGTAACAGTGAGTGATTACCTGAGGGAGGGTACAGAATAGAAGCAACAGTGAGTGCTTACCTGGGGGAGGGTACAGCACAGAAGCAACAGTGAGTGACTACCTGGGGGGGGGGTACAACAGAAGTAACAGTGAGTGACTACCTGGGGGGTACAGCACAGAAGTAACAGGAGTGATTATCTGGGGGAGGGGTGTACAGAACAGAAGTAACAGTGAGTGATTACCTGGGGAGGGGGTACAGCACAGAAGTAACAGTGAGTGATTACCTGGGGAGGGGTACAGCACAGAAGTAACAGTGAGTGACTACCTGGGGGAGGGGTACAGCACAGAAGTAACAGTGAGTGACTACCTGGGGGGGGGTACAGCACAGAAGTAACAGTGAGTGACTACCTGGGGGAGGGGTACAGCACAGAAGCAACAGTGAGTGACTACCTGGGGGAGGGTACAGCACAGAAGTAACAGTGAGTGACTACCTGGGGGAGGGGGTACAGCACAGAAGTAACAGTGAGTGACTACCTGGGGGAGGGGTACAGCACAGAAGTAACAGTGAGTGACTACCTGGGGGAGGGTACAGCACAGAAGTAACAGTGAGTGACTACCTGGGGGAGCACAGAAGTAACAGTGAGTGATTACCTGGGGGAGGGGTACAGCACAGAAGTAACAGTGAGTGATTACCTGGGGGAGGGGTACAACACAGAAGTAACAGTGAGTGACTACCTGGGGGAGGGGTACAGCACAGAAGTAACAGTGAGTGACTACCTGGGGGAGGGGTACAGCACACAAAGTAACAGTGATCTACCTGGGGGAGGGTACAGCACTACCAACAGTGAGTGACTACCTGGGGGAGGGAAGCACAGAAGTAACAGTGAGTGACTACCTGGGGAAGGGGTACAGCACAGAAGTAACAGTGAGTGATTACCTGGGGAGGGGTACAGCACAGAAGTAACAGTGAGTGATTACCTGGGGAGGGGGTACAGCACAGAAGTAACAGTGAGTGATTACCTGGGGAGGGGTACAGCACAGAAGTAACAGTGAGTGATTACCTGGGGGAGGGGGTACAGCACAGAAGTAACAGTGAGTGATTACCTGGGGAGGGGGTACAGCACAGAAGTAACAGTGAGTGACTATCTGGGGGAGGGGGTACAGCACAGAAGTAACAGCGAGTGATTACCTGGGGGAGGGGGGTACAGCACACAGCTCTTGAGTGTGATCACTTCTCTCTCAGCGTAGCTGGGCAAGGGGCCCATCTGCCCCATCATGTTCATGCCATACTGCAACAAGAAACGTCAGGTATAACTTGACACTATATAGCTGGAATACCAGACCATGTACAGGCAATCTCATTACAATCGCATCTGTGTGTTAAAATGACCAACATGACCTTTACAATAGGAAAGCAAATTTCTCAAGCTTCACAGAACATCCTCACACTGACTTCCATTCTATACAGCTGACAGAAAGATTACTTGCCAAGCTTATCAATGTATACATGTAACTCATCACACCAGTTTTGTTCAAGTAACTTCAAAATGTGTTCAACATCTCCCCAAGACTAAACCATCTTACCCACTCCAGGGTTTTACGGGACGCATGATTCCTGCGTTTTGGACGCAGAAATTTGATGAAGTACCCCCAAACTAAATTTTGGTGCGTCCTTCTGGACGCAATATAATTTTTTTCTGGGAAAGAACTTTCTGAGTTTGTAATGATATCCCATATTAAATATAAACATTCTGTTTACAATTTTGGAAATGGGCTCTCAACAAACATGGCCTGAGTCCCCAGGACACCCAGTTTCAAGAGCTATGTTAAACCCTGCCACTCATCAACAAGTTTATCTGTCACCCATGGCACCACATCTGATCCAGTAACATCAGTACAATGTGGAGCAGACCCACCTGGTTCATCATAGATCCTATCATCATCATGGATGGATCTCCGCTGTACCCCATGTGGCCCCCGTACCCCATGTTGTACATGTCACTGCCACCAGGCAGCATGTTCCCCTGATGCTGTTGCTGCTGCTGCTGCAGCATGCCCTCAGTCGTGCTGGAGGGGGATTCGTCTGGGACGACTGTAGACAATTATACACGGGTCAGCAACATTTAGCTAAATTAAATACAGCTCAAGAGGTGATTTTCAGGAAGCTATAAAAATCTTATAAACTATCATGTTATCACACTTTTCAGTTTTCTGGTTATAGTAACATCAAGTATCTGTATAGTCTTCACAGCAATACACATGATAAAGATACTAAAATTGCCTTTATTTACAATGTCTATGAGACCACAAAGCTCTGGTTCTATTGATGAAGACAAAGTGTTCTAAAGTGTTCCTATTGATATACCTTGCTGAGCTTACGGATATGAATAAAAGGATAATGTTTCAAATAATACAATAAGGAATCCAGGGATTACGCTTTACATTGCTGTAAGTATGTCAAACAATACAACAGGTTAAATATTAATCACTTTAAAATCAGTTAACATATTCAATTCATCACATTCTTCCAGAAATATCATGATTATGAATAATTATTGTTTGACATGTGAACGCTATCATAATGGTGATGTATTTAAATTTTACAGTTGAGATCAAGCAGCAGTTACCTTGACGACTTGATTCTCCATACTCAGTACTGCTTCTGGCCATTGGTGGTTTATTCTTCCCTGTGTTGAAGCTCAGTGGCATGTTGTTGTTAGCTGGGTCAAGTCGGTTTCCTCCTCCCATTGTGGCCATATTCCCATAGGAATTCATGTTGGCCATATTCACTGGTCCGATCATCCCTGGAAGGTGATATAATTCCCATGTACATGGCTTACAGACATTGTCATTGATGACATGGAAAACTTAGGTCTGTTTTATAATGTATTGAAAAGTGATTCGATTGCATTTGACTGGCCAGTTAGACAATTTTACCTTGTATTTATTTAAATAAACTGAAACAGAAATAATGCCAATAACACCCTCCACCCAACAAGTGATTGAGTTTTGGTTTTTACTCCGCTTTTAGCAATATTCCAGCAATACCATGGCAGGGGACACCAGAAATGGGCTTCACAGTCTGTACCCTTGTGCAAACGCTTTAACCACTAGGCTACCCCGCCGGTCCCACCCCACAAATCATTGAACTGAACATGTTAAATGATTTCATTTGTAAACGTCATTATAATTTCCAGCCTAATTCAAAATATGTCTATTGAATGTGTCCCAGACGCAGGTGACTGACATTCATTTTTCACACTTTTACCACATAAAACTGTAACAAAATTACACGAAGAAACAAGCAGGGGGAGCACCTTTAGATTTCAGCACCACAACTTCTCATGAGGATGGAAATGAACGGAAAGAGTCTAATAGGTCACGGACAATTACTAAGGTTACGGGTAGACGTTGCGTCTCATGATTTAGTCTACCGACAATTGCTGAATGGCTCCAATGCCATTTGTCACACTCATCCCATTCCGTAATCTACCAGATACCGTGAGGTGTGGAATGAGCCGAACTGAAAATGGTTTTGATGTCAGGTGTCAGGCGTCGGCACAAGGGTGAGTCAGCCTCCAAATCATTACTGGACAAATGTAGCGTGTGAAAGTGGCCTAGTGCAAGGTCGATGCCAATTTCCATTAGCCCAATTTCCTACTGTAAACCATTTCATCGTGTACTTGTGTCAAAAGAGTATTAAAATTGCGAAAGGAAAAACAGCAAATGGTACACATCAGGGGTGGAAATAACCCATTGCCTGACGTCCGCTAATACGACCAAAACCGGAAGTTGGCCCGTGGATATTTTTACACGCTCTGCGCATGCGCACAGCGAGTCGAAAATTAATGTGAAACCAACGAATTGCAAGATGTTATACACAAAAAAATGAGCATGTATTTACAAAACCCAACATCTCCATACACATACAAAGAGTGTATCGGCAAATGAACCAGCCAATGAAAGTCTTTGTTACACTTAAAGTGCACGCCCACCCGCTTTGACTGGGTTCGGTATCCCGTGTGCTTCGTTTCAAGGGAAGTAATCCCAAGTACAAAATATTGCACTTTTGATTTGCATTTGTATGCTTATAATTTTGATTATTTGTTTTTCCGTTTTTTCATAATCAGCAATGTATATCATATGTCATGAATAAGTGATAATTGTGTTTTAATTATGGTGGTTTTTTTTGGTTGCATGTGATATTTAAGACTCTTGTTAACTAAACTGCAGTAACCGAAACTGAATACGTGAATCAGTACGGTCTGCTGGTGGAAATGAGCTTCTCTCCATCTTTGAAATGATCTTTGCAAAATTCGCCTACCTTGGATATATTGCGATGGTTGTGACATTGCTGAAATTCTCTTTCGTTTATAGTTCGTGCCGTTTCCTTATTGTGCGATGATACAAGAGTTCTGTTCTAAAATCACGATCACTAATCAAACGTAAGGTTTACACATTCTAAAGAAAATTAGACGCGTCTCCTCTCCGTAAAATAATGTCCGACAATACACTTCCGGTTAGCTACCAAACACAAACTGGGCTCCGTAAGCATATGCTTGCAGATAACTGACACAGCGGAGAAGTATCCCAGAACCGGTGTAAACATATGCATACAGAGCTATACTAGACTCTTATAATAATATCTAAAGTCCCTATGGATATATGTTCGGTCGTATTATTCTAACATTCGTGTTAAAATATAGAAGAAGACATTATTCAAAAAGTACAGTGATATAAATGATAAAAACATTTTCGTAATATATTGAGAACTCTGTATAACCAGCCAACATGGCAGATGATCCGCAAGGTGCTTATTCTTTTTTCATAATATGTTTCCTGCGGCTCACAACCCTATCATTTCAGAATGTTGTTCTAAGTCTTTAGACTAGTTTTACTTGGATTGCATGATATGAAAAGTTCCGTCATACATTATATCGACTTTGTATTTGTAACTGTCATGAACGATTTAGAAGTGTTATTGTAGTGTAAATCTGGTGTCAGAATGTCCTTGACGTGCTGCATCAGACGTGGAACACAATCTGTGACGGACGTCATGTGTCCGTGACTGACCCAGTGTTATCTTTGATGTGGGTGTGGTCGCCCGTCACGGCACGATGCAGAGCGAGATTTGATTCTCATCGTTGATGGTTTTATAGTTGATTGAAGCACCCTGAAAATGTATCCAAGCATGACGAATCATAAATGGGTACTTCACTCTCTTTGCACAATGGACGAAAAGGGTTTGTGCTAAACTCTGCCATGTGTGCTTTTAGCCATAACATTTGGCAACAACAGCAGTAAATATGTGTGCTGACTTTGTGTGCTAGTCTGAGGGTGCGAGTTCGAATCCCGGATGGGGCTCAACTAAAAAAAACTCAAAAAGTACTAGAATTTGTACTTTACTCAGAAAGTGTAATCCCAAATATAACATATGTTACAGCAGTAAATATTGTGAAGCTAGGCTATATTTCTGTGGTTCCTCTGCTGACTGTCACACCAACAAAAATACCATTGGTGAAATTAATGATCACCACTCTGTTTGCAAACAGAAACTTCAAGAGGGACAAAGATGATTCAGGCACACCATCTTCAGAACTAATTGCAATTCGGCTTCTCTGTGTTCAGTAGCTCACAATATTCACTGGCATTACAGAAACAATTTGCTAAAATTGTTCTGATAATTTTGTTTTGAAACACATTACACAGGACCTGTAGATACATGCATGTATGATTACTTGTAAGCAATTGATTCTAAGCAGTTGATTCTTGTTGTTTTCTTTGCACATGTTAATTTTTTATCGATACAAGTACAAAAGTTTTTGTAAGAAAGTTTAGTCCAGTAAAATGACATTGTGTTCTAGTTCACAGTGTACGTCATCAACCAGTACAGTTTCTACGAGTAAAATATATCTACATTTGTGATGCACATGCTTTTGTACTGATCCCAAGGTTACATGCACTGAGGGGCTGATGAAATCATATCAACTTAAGTTTAAACCTTTGGTGCCATTTGCCACTTCCCTCAAAATCTGGCAAGACATATAACTGAACTGGTGCTAGGTGGAATGTAAAGCTACATGTAACTCACTACCTTGAATTGAAAACAGTATTCAACAACACTATTTTCAGTAAATTCACCTCCTGCAGGTTTAAATGTATTTGTCAGTGTTAAAAATTGTACTTGTTAGTGAAGAATTTACTTTTAAATATTTTAAACTGTGCGCACACTGGTTTTTGTGTTTATACCTACACAGATGCAAAAAAAATATTGATCACAGTAATCCAACACAAACCCGCCCACCATATAATAAACCAATCAGGAAACGGGATTTCAGAAGTGGGCTTCTTTAGGTGTATCGAAATACACAGTTCATATTGAATAGAATATAAAATCCTCACTCTCGCTTTCAAGTGCCTCCATGACAAAGTTCCAATCTATCTGAAAGATCTCCTCAGTGAATATGTCCCACCACGGCTTTTAAGATCAAGTTCTAATTGTCAGTTGAATGTCCCCAAGGTCAGATTAAAGTCATATGGACATAGACAGTTCTCTTACACAGCTCCCCTTTTCTGGAACTCACTGCCTCTTCACATCCGACAAGCCGCGTCCGTGGAATCTTTCCAGTCCCAACTGAAAACTTTCCTTTTTAAACAAGCTTATGAACTTTAATCCTTTCTTCAGATCACTCTATCTTTTAGCGCCTAGAGAAATTGCCTTGCAGTTTGATTTGTGCGCTATACAAGAACACATTATTATTATTATTATATTGTTTGGTTAGCCAATCAAATGCAATATACTTATGTTTATAATATTTTCCAGTGTTTTTGCTGAAGTGTGAAGTACAGAAGTATGCTTGGGGTAAAACTGGTTCGGAGAGTGAGGTGGCCAAGCTGTGTCAAGGCGTGAACCCCGATTTTCAAATTGAGGAGAACACGCCATACGCTGAGGTAAACCCCATTGATCATCCTCACAGCAGTATTTTGCATATGAATACACAATGCCATGTAGGAAGTGGTCAAATGCAACATATGCTACATTTGGGATTACAGACCTGTGAAGATCTGGGTTAGAATTGATCTTCAATAACCCATGCTTGTCGTAAGCGGCGACTAACGGGATTGGGTGGCTGTGAAGATCTGGGTTAGAATTGATCTTCAATAACCCATGCTTGTCGTAAGCGGCGACTAACGGGATTGGGTGGTCAGGCTTGCTGACTCTATTGGCACATGCCATCATTTCCCAATTGCGTATATTGATGCTCATGATGTTGATCACTGGATTGTCTGCTCCAGACTTGATTATTTACAGACCGACGCATAAACCTGGAACATTGGGGAGTGTGGCGTAAAAACTAAACTCACTCGCTTAGTAAAGTACAGATTCTAGTACTTTTCACATTTTTTGCTATTTTTGTCATTCCCACAAATGTACATGTTTTCCTGCCTCTCTATAGTCAAACATTAATATCAACCCCAGAGAGTAACTAATCTCAATTATCCCCCTTAAAAAAAAGCAGTGGATCACTACCAGATGTTCCCCCAAAATGTAATAGATTTATATTATTTTGGAAAACAGTGAAATCTGAAAGATGTATTATTAATGTACAAGATCAATTATTAGTTCGCGCAATATCAAGATCAGGTGACTTGGTTGATGCATGTCATCGTATCCCAATTGTGTAGATTGGTGCTCATGACGTTGATCACTGGATCGTCTTTCCAGACTTGATTATTTACAGATAGCTGTCATATGCCTAGAACATTTCCAAGTGGAGCCTTAGACAACGCACAAACAGAATCTCTTCCCAAATGGTTATCTTTCACTGCTATTGTTTCCATTTTCATCATTAAAGATGAATGTACACTCAGATAATGACACTGATTGTATTGTATTCCAGCTGTGGATGGGAACACATCCAAACGGACCCTCCAAGGTTTCCATTCCAGGAAAACCAGAGGAGGAGCTATCAGAATGGATAAAGAGAAACCCGGACAAGCTTGGGTCAGAGGTCAAGTCGTACTTCAAGGAGGAGCTACCATTCTTGTTTAAAGTTCTGTCGGTCAGGACCTCTTTGTCCATACAAGCCCATCCAAATCTGGTGAGTATTTGTGAAGTTTATCATTCTGGTGGATATTTGCTATGAGAGTTTTTAATCTGATGGGTATTTGCTGTGCGAGTTTTTAATCTGATGGGTATTTGCTATGCGAGTTTTTAATCTGATGGGTATTTGCTGTGCGAGTTTTTAATCTGATGGGCTATGAGAGTTTTTAATCTGATGGGTATTTGCTGTGCGAGTTTTTAATCTGATGGGTATTTGCTATGAGAGTTTTTAATCTGATGGGTATTTGCTGTGCGAGTTTTTAATCTGATGGGTATTTGCTATGAGAGTTTTTAATCTGATGGGTATTTGCTGTGCGAGTTTTTAATCTGATGGGTATTTGCTATGAGAGTTTTTAATCTGATGGGTATTTGCTGTGCGAGTTTTTAATCTGATGGGTATTTGCTATGAGAGTTTTTAATCTGATGGGTATTTGCTGTGCGAGTTTTTAATCTGATGGGTATTTGCTATGCGAAGTTTTAATCTGATGGGTATTTGCTGCAGCGAAGTTTTTCATCTGATGGGTATTTGCTATGAGAGTTTTTAATCTGATGGGTATTTGCTGTGCGAGTTTTTAATCTGATGGGTATTTGCTATGAGAGTTTTTAATCTGATGGGTATTTACTATGAGAGTTTTTTATCTGATGGGTATTTGCTATCTGGGAAGTAGATGCAATGAGGTGAGGTGAAATTGAGTTTAACGTCTTAGCCCACTGAGATACCATGCCACAGTGAAGCATGAATACCCCACTCAGACACATTATACTGACTCCGAGCCGACCAGTCCTTGTTGTACCCATTAATGCCGAGGGCCAGGCAGGGACCAACAAGTACCATATTTTAACATCTTTTGGTATGACGCGGATGCTCTAACCACTACACCACGGAGGCGGTCTAGATGCAATGAGACTTATCCATCTGTTGAGCACATGTCATAAGAGGTTTTCATCTTCTGAGCATATTTCATAAGAGTTTTTCTTGTTGTCTATATATATGCCTTTAAAGTTTTTTATCTGGCGTGTACATCGCCAGGATGGGAAAGTCTCAATAACTCAGTGCACCTTGTGGCAGCAAGAGTTGTATGATCCGCAGGGAGTTGAGATTGATAATAAGATGTGCCGTTGAGATTGACATCCAATGATGGGTGGGAAAAAATACCAGCGCCTTGAGCATGCACTCGTGCACGGATATGTGCGCTATATAAATATCCAATGATGATGATGATGATGATGATATGCAATAAGTTGACTTGTGAGTATGTGCTGTACAAGTTACACTTACTTTACCATGTTTACAGGACAGACAGACGGATTGATGGACAAACAGACAGACAGATTGATGGACAAACAGACAGACAGACAGAGCTCCTATCTGGGACTCTGCATATTTGTTTGCTTCCATTTGCAGTGGTTATTATTTGACGTGGCCTGCAGCTTCGAGGAGTGATCTGGACAATGGATTTCACTACAATATCCTGTGGTGGGCCACACTATTTTGTATAAGGTAAAACCTGTTTGTGTTTCATGTTCCAGGTTCTGGCCGAGGTGCTGCACAAAGAGAACCCCAAGGCCTACAAAGACAGCAACCACAAGCCCGAGATGGCTATAGCTCTCACCCCGTTCCAGGGGCTGTGTGGCTTCCGTCCCATCAAGGAGGTGGCCAGATATATAGAGGGTTAGTTCTGTAGCAACACATTCTAGACTGTGGAGGATGGAGGACACCCTCACTCCTGTAACAATCTCATTAGAATACGGGTACAATGTGTGAAGCCCATTTCTGGTGTCCCCTGCCCTGATACTGCTGGAATATTGCTAAAAGTGGCGTAATAACTAAACTCACTCACTCATTTAAATACTTCACTGTATGAGCAGCCTCTCCACAGATGGTCACATCAGCTGAACGTTCTAATCAGCAAACAGGCAGTTCTGAATGGAGATAATAAAGGCTAATGTATTATGTTGTTTAGATGTTTCATAAACTTGGTGGTTAAAGTCGAAGGAACCCATGTTTTCATAGTTGTTTGAAGTTTCTGTTTTGTTCGGATTGAAATTTCATATTTAGCCCAGCCGATAAGTGATCAAATTGTGCACTTCGTGTTACAAGCATGAAATTTGGCATGATTGTAGCTTATACCATTCTTAGTTTGTAAAGATTGAGAGGCCTCGCAGATGTTTTTGATTTTTTATATTTTGGGGGGAAAAAGTGAAAAATGATAATTTTTTCGACTATTTTCATCATAACTTTTTCTAATATTCTCCAATTCTCAAACATCATATATCAAATTGTAGAAAATTCATAGCTGATCATTTTCCATACATACATGTCTTGTCTGTCTTTAATGGTTAGGTCTATGGAAGTCAATTTATATCATGACAACCCGAAAAAGGGAAAATTGATGGACATATTTCAAAATGGCCACCACATAGACTACAACAGTAAAATAAGTATGAGATCATCCCATGATCTAACAATTTTTTATCATTTCTTTGCAAATCAAAACGAGAAGCCTCGCAGATTTTGGCCATATTTCATTTTGGGGGGAAAATAGGGGGAGAAAAAATGAATTTTCCGAAAAATGTTATCTCAACTCAATTTTAAATCCTAATAAATTATGTATCAAGAATATTGCGAGAACAGATGAAAGTTTATTTGAAGGGATATTTCAGAAGATTTACATTTTATCATCCAAAACTGTGTTCCACACCGCCTCCGTGGTGTAGTGGTTAGAGCTTCCGCGACGAGAGCCGGAAGGTCGGTTCGATCCCCGACGCGCCATACCAAAAAGACGTTAAAATATGGTACTTGTTGGTCCCTGCCTGGCTTCGCCGCATAAATGGGTACAACAAGGACTGGTCGTCTTGGAGTCAGTATAATGTGTCTGAGTGGGGTATTCATGCTTCACTGCAGCATGGTATCTCAGTGGGCTAGCACTATAAAACTAGCTTCAGTCTGGGCTAGTACAAGCAGCCGCATACACATACACACGCATGCACGCCGCCATAGGAGCCGAAACATTCTCAAGCACGACGTTAAACCCAATTTCACCTCACCTCACCTCCACAGGAGATATCGCTTGTGTGAGATCATATGATATCTCCTAGGAGATATCGCTTTGACAGTACAATGCTCTGATTTTGTACAATGCTCTGACAATGCCATGACGTCATGAACTGATGACGCCACAATGCTATGACATCGCTGCACTGCAAGTCTAATGGTAGTACAGTGTTGAGAGATTTACAGTTTTCATTGAAAAGTTATGAAGAATGATTTTATGATAAATAGAATCTCACCCTCGTGTCTACTGATATCAATTATATCAACACTCGTTGATAAAGGTAAAAATAAAATTTGTACCTTTATCAAATCGTGTTGATATGATTGATATCAGTAGACACGAGGGTGAGATTCTCTATGTATAATGTATGAGTATCAAAATCAACGCAAACATGTTTGATTTCAACATCAATGTCAAAGTAGCTATATTCAACAATCTGCGGCAGGTTACTCATTTATGTCTTGAGTGGAATTGTCTCTAGCTTGACTGAATTAGAAAATCGTCTCCTCCACATTTGCACAGTGCAGTGCACTTTAGAGCTGCTTTTACGCATTTGGACCGGTTTGAACTTTTTTACACATTATTTATCATTATTATTATTAATTTTTAAACTTATCCTATCTCACGACTTGCACCTCTCTCTCTTCATTCGACCATGAGTGGAAACGAATTAAAACTTTGCTCCAAGGCCTACCTTGCCCCTCTCCCGTGCTGTGCGTGCCTTCTGTGTCAGTCGTGCTCACTAGTCCATGACAGCACGAGGCATGCGCAGTCCTCACCCACGTGATCACCTCACATACTCATTCTCTTTCTTGTCGCTCCCCTGAGTGGACGTGAAAATTTTTTCCTCTGAGATTTGCTCAATGTTTTGCGCCCGTTGTAATAAAGTTTTTTCAGCATGGGACCCACACACATCGTGTGTTGATTATGTGGGTGTTTGTGACTGGGACACACGCTGTCCGAAGTGTTCAGGTCTGTCTAATGAGGCGTTTAAATTTTACAAACGTGCTTGTGCCAGACGTTTGGCAGATAGGGCTAGGACTAATTCTGCGGGGTCTGGTCCATCTCCCGCTAAGAAACAATGCTTAGATCGCCCCACCCTCACTGCTCACCGTTCTCAATCGCCCGTCTCTCCTGACGAAGATTTTATGGAGGCTTCGTCGGATTCCTATTTATCTGAGAACATTAGAAGGCTTTTAGGGAGCTTCCCTCACCCAGTTTAAGTTCTCATGAGCGCACCAGGGTGGTAATGACCGATATTTCTTCACGCCAGACCTGCGATCTACATTATCTCGTAGGTCTGCTTCTTCGAACGATCACAGACTTCGAGAACTTCTAAGCATTCATCGCTGACGGGGATCGGGCGCCGTTGGAACGCATACTCGCCTCCTATTTCCACGGCTGGGAGGAGTCGTTTCTAGGTCTCGTTCACTTTCCGAGCCGAACCTCCTCCCATGGCCGAACCGGCTCACATGGGCGAGCCGCTCACACGGCCGAGCCGGGCTCACCAGTACATCTTCAATGGGTTCACCTGACCGAACTGATTCACGTGAATCAAATGGGTTCACCTGACCGAACTGATTCACGCGTATCGGAAGGGTTCACCAGGACCTAACGGGTTCACATTCCGACTCAGTTCACCTCAACATAGGTTTCAGTTCGACACACCATCAGCGCTTTGATTCCCGTAGTCGCTCAGTCTCGCTTCTGGTCGAGGTGGTTGGCCATTTCGATCCGTTCACCTAGCCGTAAGGTGTGTTTTCGCCAGAGTGATTCTCAAAGTCGGTCTCATTCACTTTAGGTGAATCAGGATATCCCGCCTTGTCAGTCTAGACTCAGTAGCGTAATTTTGCATTACACTGTAACAATATTTACTTCCTCGGATCCCCAATCGCCATGTTCCTGGGGCAAACGCTGTCGGGAATGTGCTCCTTATTAAGGACGTTTTTAGAGCATGTAGACATACTTGCTCCCCGGATGGCTGGCAGACAGAGCTCGCTACACTTCACTAGTTGATCACCCGACAAACCCCGCTTTTAAACGACCGGTATTAACTGCTCGTCGTCCGCAGTTTCCCATGTCGGACGGTGATAATTTTATGGGCGCATCATTAGATGTCTTCTCGTGGTTCCGCCTCATCAAAACGTTCTGTGTTGCCAGTTGACTCACAACCTTCCGATCTACTTCGTCAAATTGCCAAACCGATTCGCCACACCGAATCGGTTCGCCATATACCGAATGGATTCACCAGACCGAACCGTTTAGCCATACCGAATGGATTCACCACACCCAATCGGGTTCGCCATACCGGAAGGGATTCACCACACCCAATCGGTTCGCCATACCGAATGGATTCACCACACCCAAATCGCTCGCCATACCCGAATGGTTTCACCAGACCGCACCATCAAATTGCCGAACCGGTTCACCACGCCGAATCGGTTCGCCATACCAATGGATTCACCAGACCGAACCGATTCACCACACCGAATCGGTTCGCCATACACTAATGGATTCACCAGATCGAACCGCTTTCGCCACGCCGTATGTGAATAATCGACATTGACTCAGTTTGCCATAATATTAAGACTGTTTCTTATCGCCAAAACAGTTCACATCATCGATTCAATTCACAGCAACGTAAACGATTCACCTCGGCCGAACATTTCACCTCGCCTCACTGGTTCATCTGAGCGTTCTAGATCTCTCCATCAGCTGAGATCATTTAACCGGGTTCGATTATCGAACCGATCCAGATCAGTCAACGATTCAGATCACATCGGACTGATTCAGATCACGCCAACTTTCCGCTCACCACCCTGAACTGATTTACCAGCCGCTCAGATCGCTTCACCAGGTCGAAAAGCTCCCTATCGCCGAACCAGTTCACCTGGCCGCTCAAGATCAATGTACAGAGGTAGTAGCTATGTGCTTCACCATGCCGATTTGATTTACATGTGTTGTTAGTAGCGAGTCATCTAGAGATATCACGCCGCACTTGACGCCTGGCGATCCCAGTTCTCAAGAGTCCTCGTGACCGGAGCTCATCTCATTCCAGATTTAATCTACCATCCGATCTTCACTTTTGATGAATGATTCGGTTCAACGATTCTACCCTTCGGTGTAGATATCAGTTCTGCAACCAACCCGATATGGCATAACTAGATATCGCTTTGCGAGCCAGGAATACTCTACGACGCCCGATGAGTCTTGTTACTACAGACTACTCGTAACAGCGTGTTTGTGTATCCCTTTGGTGCAATTGTTGCAGACGGCTCGCCATCTTCAGCTCCCTATGTTTTACATGATAAGCAAGTTTCTGGACAGATAACAAATGGATGAAGTTCTTGCACATGGTACCGCAATGTTTTGTCAAATAGCCAGCATAGCTCAGCCCGGAATTTATGGGTTGCGCATCACCCCGTTAACCAAAGACCATGTTGTCCGTATTTTTGTCACTCGTGTGTAACGCTTTCAAATGGCGGACTACTGTTTGTTTACCGAATTTTGATGATTAGAGTGACTATGAAGTGCCCTTTGCAGAATTCTCTTGGTCCCACGAATCGGATACCAAGTCCAGCCTATAAATGCAAGTAACAACGAAGCTGCCATTCCC